CGCTTGAACTTTTTGTCACTTGTTTTATTTTCAGATGCGGTTGCGGTCGGTTGATGGCCGCTCATTCACAACTGGCTCTGTCGCGCTTCTCAGTGTTCTCGCAAGGTGCACGAGTTGAAGATGGTCAACCATGGTCAATCGCCACCCACACTCAGACGTCACCTACTGATGCTTTCGGCACCATTGTATTCCAGGCTCGTAATTACAAAAAAAAACCCTATTCGCGCGTAGTGGTTCTGAAGACAGTTGGATGAAACGTGAAAGGAAAATAAAATACCGCAGGCAGTTTGCGACGACGCCCTCTAGCGCGCGTCGACGGGCGACGAAGCGCTGTACGACACTACAACTGCAGTAGCGCTCCAACCCATAGACGTGGACACAGCCGTAGATGGAACTATAGCATACGCGTTGCCTAAGGATACACACTCTGTATCGACCTTCACTGGTGGCTTGGGCAGCGCTGGCGGCGCCGTTCGATTCCCATCTATGGTTGCGTTCGCGTCTATAGGATTGGAGCGCTGTTGCGACTGTGGCGCGTTATGGCGCAACGTCGCGCATCGACGCGCGTTGAGCTCGTAAATGCCATCAATCATCATCAAATGCCATCAATAATCATCTCGAAGTCTGAACACTGCCGTACACAACAATGACTTGCTGCACAGTATTCCCATTTCCAACTTCTGACGCCGAAGTCACCTGCAGTGGGAGCCACTACATCTTTTTTACTAGAAGGGCCTGCAGATTCATCTATAGCACCTTTTTCCTCGTGCAGGTCTCTCGGTAACTCTTAGTTGTTGATTCTCCCATCCTGTATCCTCTTATGCCCTAGCCATGGGCATGTTGTAGGTCTTGCTCAACCTATTGCCTAATTCTATTTTGGAATCAATGCCGAAACTTATCTTTTTCTTTTAGGGAGGAGCACATGCACACAAGGCACAATTCATCCGTCTTGGCTACGATTCTGAACCTGAAAATGTGATGTATCTCATGGAGAAGGTCAGTTTTTTCTTGTTTCTATCTTGTGAATATTGCTGGTCCCGGCGGCGGTGTGAGGATAGCTGTATTGCCACCCATTTCTAGGCAAACACTGGGTGTGGAGCGTTACTTCCGTGTCACTGAGAGTGCGGCGAAATAGGCGTTGCAAACAGTCTCTCCCTCTGCGTCTTTCTAGTCGCCTAGCTCTTCGCTCTCTGTG